AGCATGACAATATATAGACGTCTCATACCAGTGGTGTAAGTGAACATTTAAAGCATGACAATATATAGAGGTCTCATACCAGTGGTGTAAGTGAACATTTAAAGCATGACAATATATAGAGGTCTAATACAGTGGTGTAAGTGAACATTTAAAGCATGACAATATATAGAGGTCTCACACCAGTGGTGTAAGTGAACATTTAAAGCATGACAATATATAGAGGTCTCATACCAGTGTTGTAAGTGAACATTTAAAGTATGACAACATCGAAAAGTCTTATAGTCTGTTTTTAAAGATTTGAAGAAGAAACAGCTGTTTGTATTGAAGAAGTAGATATACAGTTATATTTACATGTGCTAATGATTATTTAGTTTACAAAAAGACTCAAAATAACTGTGAGTAGCTTGGTGAAATGAATAATTTTTTAACATGAACTAAAACAGTCACAGTTATTTAAGTATGTCATAGATGAGGACTAAGACATTTACCTCTGATTCACACATTTGGACATGCTGTAATCTTAAGCTGTAACGTTGAATCCTGCCCTGTATACTTCTCCAGTACTGTATCACCTCCTGGGATTCTTCTTCTGCTTTGCTTGCATCAGAACCTTCACTTCTCTTTTGGATGTAAACTGTCATGTTTTCCAGATGCACAAGGTCCTCCTCATGATCTTGGAATGCTTTAATGTACTCCTAGATGACACAGACATTAGATTACAGCTACATTTTCTGTTTGAATGATCACATATCAATTTTTTATCATTAATTTTAATGTATTACAGACTTTGAAAATCTTACAATAGATATAGAGGTAGCACTTAATGCTGAATCTCATTCCGTAACAAAGAATACATACTCAAAAAATCATTTAAACTTTTTCTGAGAACTATGCTAAAAATGGAGATGAGTCCAAGCTGATTAAATCAATTAAATCTGAAATTAAAATTTATAGTTTAATAATCACAAGACCAGATAAAGGTAATACAACTGTTGTACTTGAAAAACAAGATTATCTTGGTAAAATCAATGACTTCCTTGATTCTAACACATTCATGGTCCTAAACATTTAACAACAATGTTAAACCTTTGTTGAACAACAGCAAAAGTCTACTTAACGAACCTCAAGTTAAGTCATTAAGCATTATGAACCTTTTTGCCCTGTCTGCATGGACTTTCTAAACTACACAAAACAAATATCACTATTAGACCTGTTGTTTCATATACTAATGCTCCCACTAACAAATTTAGCACAGAAAGCTCACAATATTTTCAAAAAACTAATTGGTTTTTAAACCTAATTTCGTATAAAAAACTCCCTGGAACTTGTAGAAAAAATAAAAATATGTGGAGATATTGAATGATTCTAAATTGTTTTATTTGATGTTTGTAGTCTTTTTACCAGTTAACAAATGTAAACAAATTGTTTTATTTGATGTTTGTAGTCTTTTTACCAGTTAACAAATGTAAACAAATTGTTTAATTTGATGTTTGTAGTCTTTTTACCAGTTAACAACTTAAACAAATTGTAAGTGAGTTAATGGTTAAATAAAAAGTAAACCCAGTTCAATTGCAGGAACTAAAAACAATAATAACCACTTGCTTAGATAAGAAATGTTTCAGACAGACAAGTGCAAGCATAGTATTTATATATAGATGTTTTTCTAAGCATTATTCAGTGGGTTTTTCTGAGAAATGGTTGACATATCTGCAGTGGTTACTGTTGATGTGAATGTGTTTTATATATGTATGTATTTTACTACTATTCTCTGCTAACAAGTACAGATTTGACTTTACAATTTTGCATTATTAAGCTAATTATTTGTAACATTGATAAAAGTTTGAATATGTGTTTAACATAATATAAAAATGTAGGAAAATCCAACAAGGTACCTAACTTCTTCAAACATACGTAGCTAGAATCCCACATTGAATAGGTGGAAGGACCAGTGTAAGGTAGAAAATAGAAATATCCTTCAAATGTGTGATAGACCATACACGGCAAGTCAACTGCATTCTAAACTTGATTGCCTGGAACTGACATCCATGAGGGGGTAGGATGGTGATCATACTGTCTTCACTTCAAGTTCAGGTGACTGGAGAGAGAAATCCCACCACCAATCTGTGAACATAGCAGTTCAGGTGACTGGAGAGAGAGAAATCTCACCACCAATCTGTGAACATCTCCAGTCTCCTGAACTTGCCAAATGTCTTTATGCCTAGGATGTTACTGCATTTGAGGTGGTTCCAGTTTGTTTGAGTTGAGTGGGATATATATGTATTTCATTCTTCTCCCATGTGTCATGTTCACGGATTGGTGGTGGGATTTCTCTCTCCAGTCACCTGAACTTGCCATGTTCACAGATTGGTGGTGAGATTTCTCTCGAGGGGTACTGCAAGAGAATAAAGTGGAACTACCAACATGTGCACCCACCATGACCCACAACACTGGGGTAGTGCACTCGAGGAAGAAAGTGAGTGAGGGATCAGGGACACCCTGATCACATGTGTGAGGACTTATGTTGATTGGTTCAGCTCTAAATCCAAAACTCAACTATATGGATCCGACATCCAAGTAAGATTAGGATGAGGAATCCCAACTGAAGGAGTGAACTGCATTTATGCTGGCACACTCCATGTATGAGCACATCATATCGATTGATTTAACTCTAAATCCAAAACTCAACTGCCAGAAACTGACATCCATGCAGGGGTAGGATGAGGGATCCCAATCTCACAACATGTGAGGACATGTGGTGATTGGTTCAGTTCTAAATCCAAGTCAAGAGTGCAATATTGTGTATGTAGATCAGATAGGATGTTCCATAGAAACAAAAATTAAAGCACTTTCTAGAAGTTGAAAAATGGATTCAATCTTTGAATCCCACTTTATTAGAACTAAACACTAATTTGATCTGAAAAAAAACTGGAAATTGTAAATATCTGTGAAATAGGTAAAAACTGCACTATTTTAAATATCTGTGAAATAGGTAAAAAACTGCACAATTATAAATATCTGTGAAATATGTAAAAAAACTGCACAATTATAAATATCTGTGAAATATGTAAAACTGGACAATTTTACATATACTGTGAAATAGGTAAAAAACTGGACAATTTTAAATATCTGTGAAATAGGTAAAAACTGGACAGTTTTAAATATCTGTGAAATAGGTAAAAAAACTGGACAGTTTTAAATATCTGTGAAATAGGTAAAAAAGTACAATTGTCCAGTGAAATAAAAAACTGGAAATTTTAAATATCTGTGAAATAGGTAAAAAAACTGGATAGTTTTAAATATCTGTGAAATAGGTAAAAAAACTGGACAGTTTTAAATATCTGTGAAATAGGTAAAAAAGTAGAATTGTCCAGTGAAATAAAAAACTGGAAATTTTAAATATCTGTGAAATAGGTAAAAAAACTGGAAATTTTAGAAATAAAAACAAATCCAGAAAAAGCTCTAAATGACAAAACAAACTTAAGCTCATCCCCACATATGTAAACTTGTTCACAAATCATCTCAGTCTGTACCAGATGTTAACCTTACTGGTGAAACCACAGTCGTTATTAAATGAAGTATTTGTGAAATGTTCAATTGTCTTTGTTTTCCTCAATTCTGTAATTATGGAGGTTCACCAAGTACCAACAATTTCATGTATCAATTATATTAATTATGAATGTTTAAATATTCATATCTTTATAATGTAAGTAAGTTCATTTGTACATGAATTTTTTTACTTTAAATTTAATTAATTCTAATTCGAACCTTTTCTTTAAATTATGAACCGCAGCAACTAAATCTCACATACTATGTTTCAATGATACAGATACTTTCATGTCTAGATATCAATATATAAAGATTCTACTAGCAATCTGATAAACTTACTTCATCTATATTTATTTTCTCTAAGGTAGCCTTCTGAAAAACTTACTTCAACTATTTTCTCTAAGGTGGCCTTCTGATAAACTTACTTAACTATTTTTATTTTCTCTAAGGTAGCCTTCTAATAAACTTACTTCAACTGTTTTCTCTAAGGTAGCCTTCTGATAAACTTACTTCAACTATTTTTATTTTCTCTAAGGTAGACTTCTAATAAACTTACTTC